GGATATTTCTTAGGATCGAGTTGTCTTTCTACTGTCACCAATGTGTTGCTGTGGGACGTCACTTGTGGCAAAAGAAGAAATAATGTTAGGGCAGAATAGGCGTGTATTCGGCATACAAAATGGATTGGAGCTACTGGCATGACCTGGAGGCCAGCCCACCCGGCGAAGGCACAGTGGTGGAGATCCAAAGCGGCCCTTTACCAAAAAGGGAATTAAGTGGGCAATGTATTGCCCATGTGTACTAAATTTACCTCAATTATACCTTAATACATTCTGGTCAATCACTCAAATGCATGCGGATTTCGATTGGGTTTTAAGGGAAAATTAACAGCCTCAGAGTTTGAGTAGCAACGTTTTGGTGACAGTATCGCGTGATGCTTACTACCTGCAGCTGTAGAAAAAAATTACGTGTCTCTGTCTTGTTTATCTCCCGAACCAACTTATATAATAAACGAGGGATTGAAAATTTAGATAAATAGAAATTTGCACCTGTTTCTAAAATTTCTTGCTGGGTTTCATTTTTCCTAGCTTTAATATACGTATTAGAAACTGCTGGGAGTGCCTAATAGAAGTTTATATCTTCGTAGTCATTTTTGCACATATCCCAAAAACTCCCTCCCACTTGGACCCTACTGTTTGGTTGAGATCACATTTTGATAGATCAAAGTCAATCTACTGCTATGAATGCACGTGACTGAGCCGACTCGGTGACCCAGACAATGTCACTGGGATGGCTCATCAATCATCTGCCATGCCCTAAAGGCTTTGTCTATTGCCTGTCCAGTTGGGTGTTCAGCAGGGTCAAGGCCAAACGTAATTGGCGACACAAGTTATGACAGAAACAGGTCAAATGGCTCGAGGTAATTGCATTAAAGTATGTACATTCGAATTTCTGTCTCATCCAGTGAATGAATTAGTGTTTTCCAGTATTTTAGTAGCCATCTTACCGTTTGTTGATAAAATTGACCAGATTCATTGGCATGGTTTCCTAAAACAATCCTCGTGTTTTCGGCGTGGTGCTTGTAACTTCTTAATCCTTGCACTGCATTGCTCTTTGAACACTTTGTACACGTCTTCTTTCTTTGTATCGCCATTAACCATTTTCAAATTAAATGTTCCTCCTTTGGATTGCGAGAGCCCTTATTATCATTCCAAGCAACTATTTTGAAGAAATCAAAACAAAAATTGAAGTTAAGATCCATCCCTACCGCATTGTAAATTTAGTCACCGGAAGTTCTTCTGAGGAAAAACAATTTTCAAAACCGGTCTCTTATAAAATCGGTCATTCTTAGTAGTTTTCTTAATTTTACTAACTAATATTAATACAATCTGCGGAAATAATTCCTCCTAAGCCCAAAATTTTTGCATGGTTGCATATTTTTAACAGTGAGGTGTTTTATACAAAACACAACGATGCCTACCAGTTCAAACCTGCTAAACCCTCTGACGCAGTTTATTTAAAAGTCAAGGACAACGCTACGCGAACCCCAACCTCTAATCAATAGGTCAATCAGATCGAAGTTTTGAGATGCATCACTTTTATGGCAGTCATAGCAATAGCCATTCTATTCACTTCTCCATTAGCGATCTTACTGACGTGATCCCGGTAGACTAATGAAGCAAAAGTTAAATTGGTGTTTGAATGATTGTGGATAATCTTTAGCTTTTCGTGAGTTAATAATGTGCTTAGCCGTTAATTGGAATAACTCCAAAAAATTTTCGCAATCACGACGTTTTTACATCACGTACGAATGTAACCAGAGAAAAACTTATTGTTAGGACTGTTTACAAGCATGAGAGTCGTTGCATGCATCATACGATTACTACGTACAACAGAGTCCTCAAAGAGCATTACCCACCTTTAGCTTCTTAATTCGGTCCTCAAAAATGTCATTCCACAGGTAACACGCCTTGTGAACTCCTTAAGGCGAATTGTGTCAAGCAGTAAGCATAAGTATTTGTGAAATAAAGACTTGAATTTGGACAAAGATAATTCAATTGCACCACTTTTAAGTACACAACCCTCTCCACTTGGTTTACTAAAGAAAGATGCGTTGTCTTTCACAGGTGATGCATAATATTAGGCAAACTAAACAAAGATAGTGAAGGGAATTTCAATTTAGTCCGTAAAATGAGTGAATACTGCCTCCCTAAAAAATATACTTGACTGAAATTATTGTCATCAGCGCGATAACATGCACATTTGGGCTGCTTTGTTACGTCCCGCTTATTTTATTTTTCACGATTAAAGTTTCGCATCGAAGAATTAAGCTACGACCCAAGATGAAGCTGTAATTTACTTATCTAATGACACACTCAAGATACCTGCAGAGGCCATTTACTAAGAGGCTAACACTGAAACGTATGGGAATTAATACTTCTGATGTGAGTATTGCCATGAATGTTAGGAAGCGAATTCGAAGCAGTATAACGCCACCATTTACTCCTTGTTAAATTTGTAGCGCCTGTTGGTCTGATAATTCCATTCATCACAGGTGAACCTAGTGACACGCCTTGCACAATTAACGTGAATGATCACGCCCCATGAACGTCTTCGGCAGTTCCACTCTCACAATACATATGCGGCTTATTAATCAATCACCTAAGTATATGGTTAGCAAATTAACTTCATTTTTAATATTGTCTTGTGAGATCTAGTGAAACATGAGTTTGTGGCTTAACATTCCTATGGCAATGTGAGATAAGCGGTTTAATTCTAGGTTTAATAAAGGGCCGTTTCGGATCTCCGCCACTGTGCAACTTTGTATCTCTGCCGTTGAACGTTGCCTGAGTGAGCAGACCTCCAGACCGTGTTAGTAGCCCCCATCACTTTGCTATGTCGACAGTATATATTCTGCTCTACAGGTATGACTTCCCCCTTCTTCAGTTAACCCTTATGCAATACGATAGTAGTTTATCCCTCGGTTCTGGTGAGAAGCCACTTTTGTACTTTGAATTAGCCCCCTTGTATCTCGCTGGGTGGGCTGGCCTTTTGGGCCATGCCAATAGCCCAGACACGTTCTCTGCGCTGAATATGTATTCTGCCCGAGTATTTCGTCTTCTTTCGTCTTCAGGGAGTCTCGGGACGCTACACTTACGATGCTACAATATATTCAGAAGTACGATAGTACTTGAGA